TCCAAGAACATGCGCGGTGCGCCCAAAAGTAACAGCGCAGTGCACGCTTCATTTGCTGTTTTCAGCACGGCAATGATCGTGGAGCGTTAAACAGGCAACACTTTGAATTCAGTGCTCCCGCCAGCGCCTGCAAGGCGCAAATGCTTTATCGTCAGCGGTATTCCAATAACAGCAATCAACGTAATATGGTGGGGTCTGGATACCTCCGCTCGTAGAGCGAATTGACGCAAGGCTTTGACTAAATCGTCGTGGCGACCCTTCCCTCCGGTGCGGTGGACCCAATCCAGAAAGTTGAGTTGAATTCCGCCGAACGGGAGGACGCGGCGTGAAGATAAATATCCGATAATGCCACAAACTTCAATGCATCGTGCTGTATACGCTTGCAGCGCGCTTGCAAGCACGTCAGTGTCATGGTTTCTGTCACTGGACAAAATTGCCCTGCTAGTCAACTCTTTGGGTCCAGGCAGGCGAATGAATTAATTAATATATAGATTCAATAAATACGACAAATTGGTCAGTCTCTTGTGTCTACTGAACTTTAACTGCGTTTCAGGCACATGGTTACTGAGCATCACAAATATGACCCGCCAAGTTCCAAATACCGGTTCCAGAAACTTTCAAGTATTGGGACATATAATTTTGTTCGAAGCTGCATCAGATACTGCTTTGACCATTTTTGAACGAAAAATACGTCTCCGTGTTGGTCGGACGTCAAGCCTGCGTAAGGCAACAACAGGGAAATTGTGTTGCACTTAAAGGCAAAGATGTCCAGGGAAAAGGACATGGCCCGAAAAGCTACACAATTATTGCCCACCGCCGTGTTCCTTGCCAAAATTCCCCATTTGGAGCAACATATCTATATGCGCTTAGATGTCCTTAACTTTCATAAAATAGCATAATATCAGTCAAAAGTTTGATTAATTAAGGGCCTTGAAACATGTGTGTTTGAAAGGAATGTTGTTTGAACAACCATTTTGTCGTGTGATCCAGTTGCATTTATCGCGCACTCCATTTTTGGTCGGGGTGTCTCTGCGCAGAAACGCTGCGGTTGAGGAGCTAAACTTGAGCAGCAGCTTCATAGGGGAGGTGGGCGGCGCGGCCATCCGCGCAGCCTTGGAAGAGAATTCGAACGTGCGGCGGCTTGACCTCAGAGACGCCGGCGTGGGGCCAGACGAGGAGGCCGCCATGCAGGTGGGGCATGGTTCAGTACTCATTAGATTGTAAATTTAATCTTTCGCTCTCCTTCCCTTCATTTATTGAGGCATGGAGACAACTGCATTCCATGTGCGCCCGTAAGCCTATTGTAATGTGTGGCGCAGTTCGAATACTGCTGCCTGTCTTGGTAAACGAAATCTGGCTGACGTGCGAGAAACGGCAGTACTCGCAAAGGTGGACGTGCGTCAGGCAAAGCGACTGAGAAAGAACATTGTTTGTAGTTGACCTTGGATTTCGTGTTATTTTGTTGCTTGAGCGGCGAAATTTAATGCAATTTTCTGCATGCGACAACGATAAGCATCGCCGTTGCCACCAAGGTCGGCGCAAGCTCCAAACCTCCATGCCGGCTTCAGAAATGCGGACGCGGGCTTGTGACCAGGCTTTCCGGCATTAGATCATCCCTCTGAAGTCTTCTGTCGATTCCCATTCAGGAGATGCTTCTGCAGCGAGCAGAGAAGCACGAGAAGCACAAGATACTGCAAGCGGTGTGAATGAATGCTCAGGGGTAACCCTGGTTGCAACATGCGGCTTGAAGAGGACCGCTCATGGAACGCATTAAAAGAACTTGTATTGAATGGAAACGCGACCATTGGACCATGGAGACGTTGAAAGACGTATCTGCAACCATAATGTTGATCCGTTCCTTGGCCATTCCGGTCCCCATGTTCACAATTAGGCTTGGCATTCACGTTTATGCTCCATTTTCGCCTTCGCGTCTTTGCGAACAAATACGCTTAAATATAGAAAAGTCCATTTTTGCGGTCATATTTACGCATGTTTACGTTTCGTTGACAGGCCCATATTACATAACGATGTCTCAATTAATGATCAATCCTCCACTCTCTCCAGCGCTAGCAACACGGCGCACGACTCGCCTCAGCCAAGGGGTGCCGATGAACAGATCATTGTATGCACGCCTCAGCGCATCCAACTGCCACTCCCCGGGCTCCCTGAATTTGTACCTCAAGTACACAGGGCCTACTTTTACACATATTAACAGATATTTACCGGCAAAAACGTGAATACCATGTTTTTGCGCGTAAATAACCGTAAATAGAAAGTGTCTACGCCATAAATACCAAGCCTGCTCAACACTGTTGAAAACCATACAGGAGATGTAGAGGCAAGTGGCAGTTCGCGTGTACTGGCGTACACGGGGCCAAACAACGGACAAGTGTTCTTGGGACCTGGGTGGCTACATAGCCCATGTTGGCTGACACGCTGGAAATGCACATCTCAACTCAAATCATACAGGCGATGGCCATCATCTTTCATACCATGGTATGTATCGTATACGATACCGTACGTACCATGATATGAAACCAGACGCGTTGTCATTTACGAGTGGCAACGCAATATTGCCACATTACTGTAGCAGGCCGTTTGGTGATCAACCCTTGAGTCGCCATACTGACTCAAAGCTGCGCACCATTCGCCCAATTTGTCCAAATGAAGCCAGCAGAATCAGAACTGGGTCTGCATTATTCGAAGGTGCACGGAGGGGCTCTCAGTCGCGCAAAGGTGCGGTGGATTGCGCCCGTGCAGAATTTACCCCCCAGCGGAGGACTTTCATAGGCTGGAACTCCAATTTGCTGAGGTACTGGCATTGCGCCTGTTGTGGCTCCGGCAGTAGATCTTACCCCCATCTCTCAGGTCTTACGTCGCTTATGTTGTCCCTTGGACAGTAATTTTCTGCTCCGTGTTTAGGATAGAAATTTCCGTGAAATTTCAAACCTAACAACAGAAATGGGAATTGTTGCCCGTCTCCTGTTGGCGCCATGCTCCTTGAACGTACGGCTCGTTGTATTGGCTTCCCGAAGCTGCGGCACCAAAAAGCGCAGCCGTTGAGAGCGCCAAGGGCGCGAGCAATGAACGGCGCCGCGAACGCGGGTTGTGGATCGTCCCTTCGCAGTTGAACGTGGATGTGAATTAAGCGCTAAAATCGTGCGACCCCATCTGATGCCTACAGTGGCCAGAGCTGCCAGGGGCCCCCTTTGTATCATCTGCTGACTGTGCTCTGTTGTGCTGCAACTGGCTTGGTAAAACAGCGCAGGGCATTCAGATGCAAGCCCAGTTGTGAACTGCACAGAATGGGAAACCCTAATGGTGAAGGTCCGCAGGCGGCGCTGTGTGCGCTCTGTTTTGGCGCAACTCCTCCCTTTGCTGTGAAGCACCCGCCCTGCCTGTGGCATTTGACGCAGTGGGCATCACCGCAGCCAAAAAAACGTGCCCCGAAATCGAATGCGTAAGAAACCTTTAGGGCCGCAAGTATCACTGGAGAAACAGCTATCGCGAGAGAATATTTTCTGGATGCTCCGCAATGCGAAAAGCGCCGCATTACACGCCCCTGACGTATTTGGCCTGCAGAATGAAATTGCATTCTGGGCTTCGGTTAAACATGGTTTATACTGCTAATCATTGGTATCAGTGAATTTTGACGACTTCCACAGTTCAGCGCTTTGCCATTGGTCTAGCTGAGTCCACGCAATTCCAGGGCTGCACCCGTGGAAACACAAGGCATTGCACAAATGTGCTGCTTGTAGCGTTGAAGTGCTTGGAAGGGAGAGCAACCGTCTGAATTTCTCCGTGAGGCCCTGACGCCCAGCGACATGGTCCCAGGGGCCCAGGCCGCCAGCTTGCACATCCCCCGAGGTGCGCCAGCAGGGGAGCTGGCTCGTCAGCTCGGGCCACTACGGAGGGGCACGCCGGGCCCCAAGTCAAAATGACGGCAACAAAAGGTTGCACGCCACGCCTCTTTGCTTGCGCCGCGGCCTGAGGGGTCCTGACGGTAGGTGTACTGAACCATTACGATCACGGGAGTCGGAGAAAAGACAGGTTCCGCGCAGCTTCCCCCTTCGCTGCCTCGCAGGCCTTGCCGTTCTGCCTCCCGACGAGGTGTTCCAGCGGAAGACACGAGCCATCAGCGGGGCGTACATCCGCTCCCACCGGCTCAGGGTCGGTCATGTGACCAGCGGTTTTTAACGGAGGGCGTTTGCATTGCCTGCCCTACACATCAGCCCCCGATGCCGTGATGCACGTGCACCCCGCGCCCCACGCCCTCATAGGCCGATTCACCAAGGAGACAACGCCACTCCGCAAGCAAGTGCAACGACCGCCTCCGGCGGGCCCACTCCGCAAGCCGCCGCTGATCAGGGGATCCAGACCTGCGGCAGCGATCCTTCGCGGCCGATCGCAGCTACTGGACCGCTCTGGACTGGACTGGACGGGGCTGTACTGGAAGGGGGTGATGGTGTGGCGGTGGTCCTTGGGCGGGGTCCCACGCTGGATGCACAGGGCGGCGGCCTCCTGCGGGTTGCAGTTCGCTGACCCCGACCTGGAGCGCGAGTACGAAAACGAGCTGTCCGCCTGGCTGCTGGGCTTCGACAGGGTCTCGCTGCTCGTGCGCATGGCCGTCGTGTTCACCTTCACCTCGCGCTTGTACTTCAGCGGGGAGCTGGTGGGCGCCCCAGCGCTGGCACAGCTGGGCTTCATCCTCACGCTGGCGGCGGAGGGGTGCCACAAGAACGGCATGGCGGCCTCCGCGAGGGCGCCCCGGCGGTGCCGGTCGCTGGCGCTCGACAGGGTTGTGTCGGGGGGCTTGGTCGCCGCGGCCGCGGTGATCCTCACACCTATTTCCTTCTCCGGCCTAGAGATGGACGCCACCAGCGTGGGTTCCGTGGCGTTCTTCAGGACGGTTGACTCCGGGGCGTTCACCATCCTGAGCATTTACCCCTACGTGCCCCTGCCCCTGAAGCACCAGCTGCCGCTGATCGCATCCATCGCCGGGTGGCACCTGCTGGTTGGCCAGGACTGCAGCAGGGAGGTGGCGGACCCGGGGGTGGTGATCGGCCTGTGGCGCGGCCTGTCGGAGGCCTGTCGGCGCCTGCTGAGCGCGGTGCTGATGCGGGAGGTGGACAGGAGGCCGGCGCCGGAAGCCTTGGGTGCCTGCCTGCACATGGGGTTCATGTTTTTGTTCTGTTCACTGCTGGCGTCAGCGTTCACCTGCGCGGTGTTCGAGCACTGGTCGAGGAGCCGGTTCCTGGCGGCGCGCCCGCGCACTGGCGAGAAGTGGACACGCGTGTGGGGGGGGGCTCGCCTGCATTACCTGCTCTGCCTCGTGGTGTTCGTCGCCCTGGTGTGGGAGGCGACGTCCCCCGCCGAGGAGGCTGTACTTTCGGGCGGCTGCCCGCGCGAGCCTGGTGTCTGTGAAGGAGGTTGTTGCCAGGCCTGGGACGCGGAGGGAGGGGCGATGAGCGGCTCTCCGGCCCATTTGGACGCCCGGTCGCCACGTTAGCGGTCAGTTATTGACACATTGAGAACTGTGAAACTGAACTGTAAGCGCCCTGATGGCGCAGGGCAAGACCCGTTGAGTCACCTTTGCGTGTTGCATTGAATGACATGGCTCGCGGGGAAATGTGATAAGATTTTGGGAGCCGCAGGACTGGTGGAACGGCACACGTGGACATTTTCTTTTAGCATCTGACACGCCTAATTTAAGCACCTTCAGTGCCACGCGCCAGAAGCACCTGAATGTTGCTGGCCCTGCCGTGTGGCCTGATTTCAGAAACTGAATGACTCCCGCGAGACTGGCGCTGGCGGTGTAGGTTGCACGCAAATTGCTTTGATTGCATTTGTCATCACCATGCACAGCACTGCCCTAACACTTTGCAAGGGATGGTGGTCGTATTTTGGCTCGCAACATCCTGTGCACTTTTGGCACTTCATCGTTTGTTCGCGTTCGCTCTTCATGTGTTGTACGCATCAGCGTGCTGATGGTGGCTCAAGTCGTCATCAAATGACGTCGTTGGCGCGGACGTTCCATTGAGAAAGTGATTCCTGCTGTGGCGTCTTGCAAATTTGGACCGTTGCATTCACCAATTGCAGGAGCGTGCGTCAGGCAGCCCGAAGCATACTAAACTCTAATGAGGACTGCTGAATGAACATTCTTGAGATAATTTTGATACTGTATCCCGACTTTCCATGAGGTCTACTGAATAAAGCAAACCAGCCTTGGATCGCTTCCATTGATTGAAGCTGCTGCATGGCCTCGATAGTTCGCATATAGCTGGTATTGCACTGTGCCGATCAATTGCATTCGACCCGCCCTCGACTGCATGTGTAACATCCGATTCCAAATTCAAAAGAGGTTTTTGCTGGCGTCATTTACCGATCATAGACCCGCTTGGTGCCCAATGTGGTTGAAACGACTGTCCGATATTGGCGCCAGAAAGGCGAAATAGTAATGCACATTTAGTGCACAAACTGCACTGCCCATGCCCGTCATCATCAAAACCCGTCGATTACATGTGCCATGAAATGGCAAAGCACAGCCCGTGCACCTGATAGGCGATGATGGGCGTGAGAACCAAACGAAGTGCTTGTTCGGAATCAATTGTTCATGGTACCAAGACCACACAATTCCAGAGCCCCGATTTGTAGGCAATCCCTTTGTCCCGTGAAATGCAATGAACCGCCGATCTAACCGCGACCATGCCCGCCGAGCAGACGCTAGGCATTGGCATGTCTTGCTGTCAGTAATGCGATCACTAATTTGCACGTCGAAAACCAATAGCCTAAGGCATTATGAAATGACTGTGGCTGACGGCGAATGCATCACCGGGAACTCTGTTGGCATAAGTCCCGAAACGGACGCCAGGTGCCAGGATCCGGATTGGAAGGGCTGCGGGTATCGCGCATCCGTGTAGGGACAGTTTGAGGCTTTCCCCAAAGGACAGTTCATAATGCCTACCAGCATTTGTTAAAATTCTTGGCGAGCGTGTGTGACAGGAGAACAGCAAGGAGTCCGATGGAGGGAAGACATTCCACTCCAGCTGTATGTTTGAAGCTACTGACCGCATAAATTGAGCAAACGCGGTTGACTTTTGAAAAGTATCATCGTTCGATGACGTATGTGTTTTACAAATGTGTATGAATTGGTTTTGTGTTGCGTCGATACCCTGACTTTTACATAACCATGGGACACAAAGAACTCCACCAGAAGCTTCTCAACTCCTGCTTTGAACATCCCGTTCACATATGTTATTCACACCTTGAAACAAAACTTCTGAAGCACTCGGATGGACGCAGTGTTTCTTTCAAAGAAATTGGCAATTTTGCAAATATTAGTTTGTAAAGGCATTCTTTACCGTATTCCATTCCCCATATGCAATTATGGACATGTACCCGAAAGTGTGGAAATGGGGAAACGGTGGCGTGTGATACCATTCTTCAAGGCATATACCCACTGGATTCTAACTTCTAAACCTGCCGTGTAGATTTGGATTACCCTGAGGGGAAAGTTCCCCTCAACTTCTTTTTCAGGCAGCGTTTCATTCCATGTTTGTTGTCGCCAATTGGCGACAACAAACATTGACTGAAGCGGACTCGATTCAATTATTGCAAAAGGGGGCTTGGAAGCAGCTCGTGTCACACCGCAGTGGCGTACTGGACAAACGTTGTTCATACCAGAGAGTTGCGCAGTATTTCTACACACAGGCGTGTCCGCGTTTGTCAGGAAAAGGGGTATCTCTTTTCCTAGCCCAGCAGAATATAGATGGTCTGCAGGATTCACTCTGGTTGCAAGTATTTCTGAAGCGAAACATAGAATGATTCAGAGCATTTCCTGCTAGAAGGGTACATTAACGGAAAATTGGACAATGCACAGTTTCAAAACCCTCTCAGTACGATATCGCCTGTTCAAGTGGCAACATGGCCACTTGTTACGGGATCGGGCGCCCAGCATTCTCTGTTCAATCAAAATGTCAGGGGTTGTCATACTGTACCGGCGCGATTTTGAAGTAGCCAGCCGCGCTGTTATTCCGACTGTGAATAGTGTCAAGAGGAGCATGTGGCAACGGCTCGTTGAGCTTGGAGAAACTACGGTGCTTGCCATGCTCTGGCGTCCATTGTCTGCGAATATCAATGCCTTTGCTCAAGAGAATGCCTCTTTGAAGGCTCACATTTCATTGTGGGCATTCTGGGTTCATGTGATCAAGCACGGCTGCTTGCTAAGCAAGTCCTGCTAGTCTCCATGCATCCCAGCTCTAGTTCATGGGACAAGAGTTGCACATCCTAGATATACATATCCAGGATATGGCCATTTCCCAGGATATGGCCTGCATATCCTGGATATGCATATCTAGGATATGGCCATATCGCTCCATAACCTAGGATATGCAATTTTTTTCCGACATTGGGAAGAAAGACTCTACTCCATCATGGCACAGGGCCACGAGCCTTGTTGTGCGTGCAGCCCTTTCCGCTTCACAACAAACGCCCATTATGATAGTGAAGGTGCGCGCCAGCCACAGGAGATCATGGACAGGGAGATCACATGCAAAGATCTGCGCAACCGCAGCAATGTTGGCTGCCGTCAGTCAGCGTCGAGCCAGCCAACTGCTCGAGGGACTTTCTCAACTCACAAGCCGTCCATGATCCTCAAATCATAACAGGGGCACCGGCGTGCCCGGGTAAAACAGGAAGCGAACGGCCACCAGCTCGCGTTGTTACTGGCTGTCTTGTTATTCAACATGATCCTCAAATCCAATCCGGAGCCATCTGTGATCACCACCCGCGGCAGCCCGTCACGCCCCTCCCTGGCGACAAAAACCATTCCCCCTGCGAACGTCAACGATGTCAACGGGGATCACATCGTATCGCATTGCGGCGACACAAACCCTCTCAGCGCGTCCCCAATCCCGAACGGGCAGCTTCCGCCCGCCGACCAGCCGGCGCGCCGCCCCGGCTCCAGCCCGCACGCCGCCCTCGCCGTGACCTCCCACACCACCGCCACGGCCATCACGATCATCAGCACCTCCTGCGCCCGCGCCCTCCCGGCCACGGGCTCCCACCCCTCCCTGACCCCCGAATGGGCCTTAAGAAAGCGCACCCTGGAACCATGCTCCATCACCAAGGAGACGTACACGGACACCATGAGGGAGGCCAGCAGGAAGACGTGCCCCATGTGGCAGCAGGCGGCGGGTGGGGTAGGCGGCGGGCGCCGTTCCACGTTGGACATGAAAACCGCGCTGAGGAAGCGCCGACAGGACTCCGACAGATTTGCCCACAGGCCGACCATCGTCCGAGTCGCGACGGGATCGGCCAGCTGGCGCGGGCAGGCGCAGTCGGCGCCACGCAGCCAGAACCACGCGGCGCTAGCCAGGACGATGGGCAGGTGGTGCTTGAGCATAAGGGGCCGGTAGTGGTTGGAGCCCAGGACGGTGAACGCGCCGCAGTCCATGGCCTTGAAGAGGAGCACGGAGCTGGGGCTATGGGGCTTCAGCTCCACGGCGGACATGGCGACCGGCGTGAGGAGGGTCACCACCACGGCGCCAAGGCCCGCCGCCACCACCCTGTGCATCGCCACCGATCGGCCAGACTCATTCGCGATCGCCTCCATGCGCCTGCCGTGGCGCCACTCCAGGGCCAGCGTGATCGTGAAGGCAACCTGGCAGAGGCCGGACGCGCTGGCCAGCCCGCCGATCAGGACCAGCCGGCAGGTGAAGAGGGCGACCATGGCTGCGCGCCACTGCACCGAGGCGCGGTCGAAGGGCAGCAGGCTGGCCCACTTCGAGAAACAGCACCTCATGCTCGCGCTCGGGAGTCGGCGTTAGCGGGCACGAGCCGCAGAACATCTGGCGCGGTAGCCAACCAGCAGGCAGGGGCGGTAATCCATTTGCAAGAGCCGGTATTTTGGGAGTACGCGCTGTGTTCCAGCGCGGAAGATAGTGAGGTGGGGTTGTCGGAGGGACCTGGGGCGGGGCGCCGATCCTGGCGCGAGATCAAAGAGAGGGGCATGGGGCGCAAGGAGTGTCACCAGACGGGAGCCGCGGGCCCCTCCGCTCACATTGGCTGCCCCCCCCGTCCCACAAGATGGGCATGGTAGATATTCTGTGTCGGTCGTCAGTTGAGGGGACTGAGGAGACTTGTCAGGCGGGCGTCGCTGTCGCTGTCATCCAGGTGCGAGTAATTGGGCCATCTCGTCCAAGGATGGAGGGCCACGTCCGACTTCAGGGGTGGACGGGGTGAACCGCCTGCTCCCCACGCACTCTGCCGCCGTCTCCCAGGGGCAGTACAGCGCCCTGTATTGCACCGCACGGTGTGCTGTATGTCTCACGTAGGTCAGTGGGACGCGGCCCTCAAAATGCCACACGCGGCCTGCGCGGATTGCTTACCCGTGAGCAAATCATGGCTGACTCTATATTTCTGCAATACCGGTCTCCTTCAACCCCCCCCGTGTTCCCCACACGACAATACATTACATTCACACAGTTTGGTGTCCATCACCTCACTAATACAATACCCGTTCGGCGACCCACTTGAAATGTGCCCTCGCTTCGCATAGTACTTCATGCCACTCTGATAGTGACTCAACCCAGCGTCAGCTCCCCTTTCCTCGTACTCCACTCCCTCTCCATCCTACAGCTAACCGAACTCACTCTATTCGGGTGGGCCGGGCGGGTGCGAAACAAGATAAGGGGGGCGCCAAGGGTCGCGCCTGAAATAGCACTCCCACTTGCCGCCAAACTCCCTGCCAAACCCAAGGGCCAGCTTGACCGGTCCCCTTGGCTGTGCCCAAGGTACAAGGTTCAACCCAAGCTCCCTTGGATACGTCGGGCAGCACTGACCCCGAGTACAGGGGTGACAGAAACCAGCTTACGACTGGCCCCAAACTGTCCAAAAGGCGGAACGGCCCGACCTGGCCGTTGCGCGCCCTCCCAATCGTCGCCCTTCACAGAAAGCCATTAACAAGATAGTTAATTCCATTTCTGCAATACCGGTCTCCTTCAACCCCCCCCGTGTTCCCCACACAACAATACATTACATTCACACAGTTTGGTGTCCATCACCTCACTAATACAATACCCGTTCGGCGACCCACTTGAAATGTGCCCTTTTACACTGGAGCACGGTGCAGCTCCTCAGGAGCGAAGGCGTGGTCATGCCTTAGTCACCCACGGGCGGATGACGCCCCTCCGGGGCAGAAGATGTGCCCGTACTGCGCGTGCAAGTCGCGGGCAGTGATCGTCATCCAGCCAAACAAACGAAAGTCCCATTCGGACGGCAGCCGGTACACGTCAATGTACCTCCACATGACGTTACTGCGCCACTCCCCCCAGGCGCGGATGCGGCCTTCAGGCACCTCCAAGGCGTAGCAAGCACTGGCGCCCCCACCGCGCAGGCCGTGGTGATCGAAGGGCTCCGGGGGCGGCGAAGGAAGGGCGCGCTGCAGCAGAGGAAACCAGCCGGAAACCGTCCGCGCGGAGGGATCCTGCTCACCAGGGAGCATGTAGAAATGGGTGGGGGAGGCGCCAGCGTCCGCCCACGCCTTGTCCCAAGCCGCTGACCAGCGGAGGAAGAGATCGATGACGGATGGCGCGCCGTCCGAAGGCCAGGACCGGCACCGGATATGCGGGTCCGTAGAAGCCGAAAGCTTGGTCCGGCGTTCCCGGAAAACTAGGAGGCCGTTCTCCACGCGGAGGTCGTCAAGGAGAACGAGATGGCCACTTTGCGCCCGGTTGAAGAAAAGAAAATCCAGCGTCGCCGAGCACGCAGCACGGAGCAGCAGCAGATCGGAAGTCGTCAAGCCAAGGTCCAGGATGCTCCGCAGAAGATCCGTCGGAACCGGCCGATGAGAATGGGCCGGCTCCGGTTCTTGCCGCCTCCATGCGCGGGTAAGGCGCCGGGTGACGGGGTCGAAGGCGGAGAAGTCCAGATGGCCCATTGCTTGGTGGACCATCGAAATGGCAACCAGATACTGTGGGAGGCTGCGAATGCCCACACGTCCCTCCTCCCGCAGGAACCGGATGTAGCGGTAGATCGTCGAAGGCCGCGCGGGGAGGCTGGCCAAGTCGTGCGCCTTGCAGAACGTAGCAAAGCGGGTGAACTTGGCATGCATGGATCGGCGGGTTGACTCGGTATAAAAGGAAAGAAATTCGGCCTGCATCCAAGACCGATCGGACGCCGATAGTCCGTCCACCTCGCAGCCAAACAGCGGGTGATCAGCGGGCATCTCCTTGACCGGGAGAGGGTCGGCCACCGGCGATGCCAATCGGGAAGAGGGCGTCAGGCGCCCAGAGTCGGATCCCCCCTCCGCGGCCGAAGGTGGAAGGCGCGGAGATTCCACCGGGGGGGAGGCAGGACGGCCGGAATCGACGGATCGCCCGGGAAGAACATCTCCAGGCGGCGAGGAATGAAGAGCTCCGCCGAGGCCATGCGCCGGAGCCGCGGAAACCACATGGCCGACGGCCAATCCGGCGCCAAGACCACCGCCTCCACCACCGGCCGTTGGCGCAGGAATGCCGTGAGACGCGGAAGCAATGACCAAGGCGGATTCGCCCAGTTGGCCGCGCCCGTCCAGTCTTGGAGGAAGGCATCCACCCCCGAAGAATGGGGCTCGTGGTGCCTCGAATTGAAGGCGGTGCAGAGGGAATTCCGATGGGAAGCAAACCGGTCGATGGTCCGCTCCCCAAACCGGCGGGTAATGGCTTTGAAGATCACCGGATTGAGACGGCAGTCCTCGCCCCCCTTGACCCACGACAAGCGGTCCGGAATGGTGTTCTCCTTGGACGGGATGTATTCCGGATCGAGCAGCAATGCGCGGGCCGAACAAATCCGTTGCAGTTGGCGGAGCGGCCCGCGGAGCTGGTCGGAACCCGTCGCCATGCTGCGGATACAAAAGAGAACCACCTGCGAATCCACGAGCAGGCGCAGCCGAGCCGAGATCGAGGGGGAAACCGCCGGAAAAAAGGCCCGGATGGCCAAGGCTACCGCCTGCAATTCACGCACATTGATGTGCGTTAACGAGCGATCAAAGAAGCCTCTCGCCAATTGAGGATGATCGGCGTGAGGGGGAGTGAAAGTCGCACCCCAACCCGTCAAGGAAGCATCCGTAGCGAGGGTACCCGCAAAGGGCACCCCGTCGGGATTAAGGGGGCGGCCATCACACCGATGAAGATGGACCCAGACCTCTAGATCGAGGCAGGCTTGCGGGGTCAATCGAAGACGATCCCGCCAAGAGCGTTTGGTCCGGAGCACAGCATAAAGGCTCTGAAGAAAAAACCGGGCAAGGGGAAAGGCTAAATAAACCGAAATAGCCTGCCCACAAAAGCGAGCCAGATCCCGAGCGACTACCCATTTCCGGGCCCGAAGGACCCGGGCCTTTTCGGCCAGGAGTGTCACCTTGTCCCGGGGAACGAAGAAACGGCAAGCGTTGGTGTCCACCACCACCCCGAGGTGGCGCTTGACCCGAACCGGCTCCCACTGGCATTTCCGATCCTTAAAGCGAATCCCAAGGGCCCCAAAAATCTCCCTAACTAATTGGGACCATTCTCGCAATTTCTGGGGATGGCTCAGGGCGGCCAGAAAATCATCCAAATAGGCCAGGATAATGGCGGGGTCATCGATTGTATAACGCACATAGTAGCGTTGGATCGAATCATTCCCCGCGAGACTGCCAAAACGGAATTTTTGCGCCGCTTTGGTACACGACCCCGGAGAGCAAAGGAAACGAGTAACCACCAACATAAAATGGGTGAAAAAGTAAGGAGATAAAGAGAGACCAAAGGGGAGGGCGCAGCAAGCGAAGACCTCCCCGTCCATACGGAACTGTAAAAAGCATTCGTCAGCCAATCTCATCCGTAAATGATGGTAGGCATCCTTCACATCAAAACCAACCAAAAAATCATCCTTTTTCAACAAATGACCAAAATCCCGTAATTTTTCGTACCGCAAGCCCATCTTGCGCAAGTGCCGATTAATGCGGCGGAGATCGACGCACAGTCGATACTTCATCACTCCATCCTCCCGCCCTTTTTCCACCAAGAACGCGCGAGAGATGCGCGAAGAGGGGCCAGGGTCTACCTTGACGATCGCGCCCGACTTCAAATACTCCTCGCGGAGGGCCGTCCAGCCCGCCCGCTCCTCCGCCGAACGGATCGGGTATTCGCCCAGGTCGAAAGGCGGGGGAGGTCCCTGCGGTCCCCAGGGCAGCGGGACGCCCGAATGGATCCATTGAAGAACGTGCGATGGCGCTCCAATCCTCCGCCATGCCGAGAGGCGTCCGCGGGTGCGATTATACGGGAAGTCGGTCACGCATCCGGAGATGGACGTGCCCCTTGAGGTGGATTGCGCTTCTTGCCCCGCTTCCCCGACGGGCCACTCGAATGGGGAGGAGGATCGCCGCTCCCCGCCTTGGACGCCCGGCTGGCCGCGGCCGCCTTGGTCGCAAGCTTGACCTCCTGGGTGAGGAGCTCCTTGCGAATGGCTCCGAGCGTCCCGTCGATGGTGTCGGTGGTGAAGCCGCCTTCGGGCTCGCTGAGGCGGATCTGGGCCTGCAGAGCCCACCAGGATCCCTCGAGCCCGGTGCCGCGATGCTTCGCGTGCACTTGATGGAGGCGCAGCTGGTCGACCTGCCGCTCGGTAATGGCCACCGAGGCGTAAACGTACGGCAGGAGAAGATCCCGGATCGAAGGCGGTAGACTCGGATGGGCGATAAGGTCCACGAAGCACGCCGCA